ACAGGGCACCTCACTGGAGGGTTTATTGCCTTTTCTGCCCTGAGGCTACACAAGCCCCAGCTGGAGTGGAGGCTGCAAAGCCAAGAGAAACATCCATGTGCTGAACACCCACCCCCTGACAGGAGCAGGGTCAAGAACAGAGCACCCGAAGTTATATCCTCCCCTCAGAAAAGAAGGCCAGGGCCTTTGTATCCTTTCTGAAATCCCCACTTAAAAAGATCTTGAGAAAATTTTTTGCTTGGCATGAATAGCATTAAAAGCCTTTAAACAACTTCTGTCCAGCTTCTGGAAATATACTTTTGTAGCAAAAAGGTAAGAGAGATCTCTCGCTTCCTTGCAGAGGAAATTTTGTAATAACATGGATATCTCAAGTATTATAGGCAGTCCAAAGACATAACTTTAATTCACAGAATCACAGAATGTTTAGGCATTGGAATGGACCTTAAATATCATCTGCTCCCAAATCCCCCCTGCCGTGGGCAGGGACACCTCCCACCAGACCAGGCTGCTCCAGCCTGGCTTTGAACACTGCCAGGGTTGAACCAGCACAAAGGATTTAAAACTGGGCAATGGAAGTTTACCTCCAAAATATCCTGAAGAATTTAATTAAAAAATAAGACTTATCAGGAGGAAAAGAAAAAAAAAGAAAATAAGATAAAAAAGCAAAAAGTAGCAAAAATAAAGATCAGATGATTTACTGAAGGCTAGATGGTGTGAGCAATTCACCTGTCCCAGAGCATGGCCTGAGAACTAAAGACATTTGGAAAGGCAATTCCTTTTCAAACTGTCCATCAGATTTTGTAGCTAATAAGCTGAATATGAGAAGTTAAACTGCTTGACGAGTCTATTAATACAACAAAAATGCCCGAGGCTATTTTAATAGAACAAAGTGTGGGCGAATCTATTTTACTTGCAACAGTGAAAATTTCTAAGCAGCTGAAACTGAGTGAGCAGACAGCAGAAGGCACAGATGAGACAACACAAAATCCAAGCATCCAGGACTATTTTGGATCCATGTGACTCAATGCTGGTAGCAGGAAACAGAGAGAAGACAAAGCAAGCCCATCATACACATAATTCTCTCATTTATGGGAGAGTACTGTGTTCCATCAGTCAAGTAGGAATTATTGCTGGCTGGCTTGGAAACTTAGAGTTGGCAACGTATTAAATGGATCTTGGCAAGTAAAACTGTTGGGCTTTCAAATGGGACAAATCTTTCCTTTCTGACAGAACTGCTCTGTTCCACTTCCTTTGGTTTTCCTGCTGGCTGAAAGGATGGGAACGTCACCCCCGCCCAGGAGGTGGCCCCTCAGCACAAGTTCTGTATATATTCTATTTTTCAGTGAAAAACATCCACAAACACCAGTTACAAAAAGCATAAACCCATGCCACTGAAGAGATACAGCAGCATCCAGTGCCCCTGGGCATGGCAGTGTCAGCTGATCCCCCAGCACAGGGCTCTGGGCAGGGACAGGACCAGTGGGGGAGAGGCAGAGCCAGCACTGCTGATGCTGCAGAGCCACCTGAACAGCTTTGGCTGCAGCCACTTCTCCAGCCAGTCTGAAACCCAGCAAACAGGAGGCTCTTGCTCGTCACCCTTCTCAAACCTTGTATTCCATCCCTGGAAAAACCTCAGAAAACTTCCAGTACTTTCAGAGGATGTAGAAATCAGAAAAGAGATTCTTCCCCAGAACTATACAGAATAAAGCAGAAAAGAGCTGAACTTTCCATCTGCATTTTAGAACAGATTTGATGTCAAAAGTCAGAGGAAATTTTTTACATATATATATATAAATAAATCTTAAAAATAACAAAACTTCTCTACTGTAGCACCTATCTCTGCTCAGTGTATTATATAAACCAGATATTTTAACATACAGACATTTAATTAAAACCACGTTTTTTCTTGAGTTCTGACTGCATATCTTATTCAAGCTTTGCTCACCCTACTGTAAAATGTTATCCTACATTCAAATCTCTAAATTTACTGTTTTATATATGTTGTCAGATCACTAATATCCTCTTGCAAGTCATCTTAACTACCAACATAGCAATTTTCCCTGTAATGACTCTTCATTTAAGACTGTATGTTTACAATTTTCTACCATTTAGGTGATTTAAGTATATCATCTATTGAATGTCCTGATCTTGGCAGCAAAGAATTTTCTTGCCAGATGGAATATGAAAATAACATGAAAGAAAACATTTTCCCAAAGCACAGATAGCTGGCAGATATCCCTCAGAAACAAAAATCCTTCTTAACCTAGAAGTAGCCAGTCTGTCATGTTCTCTGTAAAAAAATGGTCAAGAATTCAGCTCTGCCTTTCCCCAGTGCCTGCAGCATGCCCAGGGCAGCTGTGAGGACAACATGCCAACCACAGAGATGGCCACAGCCATTATCAGCCACTGCTCTCTTCCCTCCCCTCTTTCAGTGACAGCACAATCCAGGTGCTTCCCAAAGTGCCTCCTGGTCCTTCCTGGAATTTACCTTCACAATGTCAGATCTGATCAGATGTGACATGAATACCATGTATGGGCTCACAAAACCAAAAAGAACAATGTTCAGGGATCACTGCTTGTGTATGAAATAGAGATTAAACTATAGGGACATAAAAGAATGGGTTGGTTACATTTATATGAATAAGATCCCCTGCAGTTCAATGCATTTGGTCACAGCAATCAGGGTAAATGCAGCCAAATTCACAGTAACACACATGTGTGTGTGTGCATGTGATATATGGACACACTTGGTTATCAACAGAGGCACAGGGAGGTAAAAAATCTAAGACTGATACTTAAAGGAACCTCACTTTAGTAGAACACATCTCAAAGTAAGAATATGTGACTGCAAGTGTAAGCAAAGGTAAAAAACAAAGCAAGAGTAGCCGTGATTTTCAGAACAATAATAATGGCTGGGATTCTCTAGCTGATATGTGGAAAACACAATTAAGCAGGCATTTTTAAGATATGTGGAAATTATTACTAAGCAGGCATTAAATATATCAGTACTGTGGACACTTGAAATGACATTAACTCTCAATTGGATTTAGATGAAATGGATAGAAAAAGCTATGTAATGCTATAAAATGGAAACCTCACTATTAGACTCAGATCACTGATTGCTACATGGTCCAGTGAAGGCAAAGGCAGAGTATGATCCCTCACACCATCCTGTCGTGGTAGCACCAGTGCATCTGCCCCATCCAGCCCAGGGTTTCAAAGATATTTCAGCCAGAAAGCCTCTCTCACCTACTCAGCTGAGGAGGAGGAAGAGAAGGGATCCTCTACATTCCATCACAAAAGGATGACTGTGGATCATCCATGGATCATTAATGATTAGGACACAAAAGAAGGGGTTTCCTTGCCATGTCCTCATCTCTGAGGTGTCTGTCCACGTGCCACAGTCTGCACCACAACACTCTGACTGTCTAAGAAACAAGAGGGGTCGTTCCCTCTTGCTCTGCAGCTCCAGGAGGGCAGGAGCCATGCATCCCTGATCCTGGGGATGGGCAGGGGGGCCCAGGGGATGCTCGTCCTGCCTCAGAGCACAGCTTATTTCAGGACAGCAAAGGAACAATGGCAGAGTGCCCATCCCTCTCAGGGCAAAGATCACACTTGAGATGTACCCAGCAAAGTCTTACAGGAATAATCCCAAACATGACATTGCTAGATATACCAGAGGACTAGAAAATTATTTCCTGATAGGAAAAAAAAATTGTCTAAAGATCTTTAACTTTGGACTGTGCAAAAGTTCTACAACAGAAAAAAACCCAAACCAACCAAACACATGGAATTACTATAAAACCATTTTGGATACCATATTGTGATTGAAAGTATTGAAGAAAATAACCCTGGGCAATAAAGGATCCAAGCAGTAATAATGTTTCCTCTAATTACATTAAACAGCTTTAACTAAAAAATAGACACCATTTCACTTTATCACATCTCATAAAAGATATTAAAACTGATTTGCTATTTATGTTTAATGAAAAGGAGGAAATGTTTCATCTATATCTAATTTATTCTGAAAAATAAAGATTATGATTTCAGAGTCTTAAATTGAAAGTTAGGCTGAATCCATTGTTATTCCTGCTCTCACTGCAGTAACACAGATGTGTGGTACGAAGGTGGTTTACATTTCACTTTAAATACAACTCTGCTTCAAGGCTCCACTGAACAACAACCAGCTCCAGACTTGCTCCAAGCCATAGTGCCAAAGCCTCCTGCTCCCACAGGAACCACACACAAATGGCAAATCCAAGCAGCAGCTCTGCATTTGCCATTGTTAACCCAAACAATGGCTGCCCCCTGTTTTGTCACCTCCCCAGCCAGGTTCTCAGTCACCTCTGGCAGCAAGATTTTTAAATCACTGTCTGGGTAATTGTTTTTCCCACAAACATTGCTAACCAGACATCTGCCCGTTTTCAGACCTCCTCAAGAGTGAAGCTCTTGCTGCTTTCTCCAGTCCCCACTCTCCAAACAGGCACACACAACAAGAAGAACATTTCAAGTCACACCTCTTAGGGAAAATCAGAAAGCTGGTTCATACAAACCAATACAATATTTAAACAAAAATACTTATAAAATATATCAGTTAAACTACCAATTCATCTAGCATATACATTTTCCATTTTTTCCTCTAATCCTCATTTTGTATTTTCTATTTCAATTCCTTTGAGGAAGCAATTCCAAACCAGGCTTTTAATCCCGAATTAGTATTTCAAATTATATTTACAGTCTTATCTGTTCTTAATACAAGTGTCTGAACTGTACTAAAAATGGCATTTTATCTCCATAATTGTACTGAAAAAAAAAAAGAAAAATTTATCTGTCCTTAGAATACTTAATTTAATTTTTTTTTCCTGGAATATCATCAGTTATACAGAATACAGCAATAAAAAGAATAGCATTAAGAAAGGCAAGGAGTGGGGTTTATTTTTAGGCTTTTAATCATGGTTTTAAATTAAGAGCCAGAAGAGTTAGAAATGGTTCACACTGACCTGAGTCCATAAAGGACTGTTCCATCTGGATGCAAACGAATCATTCTGTTCTTCACAGTGACCCCATGGACAAAGGACTTCTTGTCATTGAGGAAATAGGTGTCTGGCACCCACAGCTGGTCAGCTACTCTGTTGTCCAGAGTCAGGTTCAGAGGGATCACATTGTAGGACAGCCTCTTATCCCTCCACGCTTGCTGAAAGTACATTGTCAAGGTATAGTCCTGGGATTACAAAAACAAACAAAAATGGCATTGAAACAGATGGCACACATATGCAAACCTGACAATACAAACACACATGTACTCACTGGAACTGTTCTTAAAGGCAAACACTTCTGCTCACAATTTCCATAAGTAGATTTATTTATTTCTACAATACTGAACATCTTGTACATACTTAATAACAGCAAGGAGAACACAGACGATGAGGCATTCACGTTTTATGAATGACTTGGAAGTCTCACTTCAATATTTAAAAATAAAATGGAAAAAAATGTAGAATTTAACAGTCTGCAAATCTCTGCAGCACTTTACAAGCCTGGAAGTTCTAGGAAACAGGAACATTCACAGATCCAAATTTCACCTCAAGCTCTCTGTATTCAGGAGCTTTGAGCAGACCTTCTGTCCCTGAAGCTGCAGTTACCACCCAAACACTTCTCTAAATTAAAAGCTCTTCAAAGTCTGTTAACTTTCCCCTGGGCACTGAAACCAAGGGAAGCCTCTGAGGTTCCTGTGCTAATGACTCTCAGTCTTCCACTCAATTTTACAGATGAAGTAACTCTGCTTACTTGGCTGAAGAATTCTGAGAGCACAATTAGTGTGTTGGTGAATATTCACAGTATCATAAGACTGGCATGGTGTTGCTGCAGGCCACTGCTGGACACTGTGTCCCAGCTGCTTTGACCTTTTGGTGTTTTAAAGATCAATATACTTACAAAGCTTGTCATCTTTGTAGAAACTCTTATACAGAGGCAGAATATTCATTATATATTAGCTATATTAAAAAAACTCCACAAATAATGCACAAAGTATATCAAAAGCAGCCCTGAGGAAAAGACTTGGGGATGTTGGGGGATGAGAAGCTCACCATGACCCAGCAAAGTGCACTCACGGCCCAGAAAGCCAACTGTGTCCCACACCATAGTGTGGCCAGCAAATCCAGGGGGGAATTCTTCCTCTCTGCTCCATCCTCCTGATACCCCACCTGGAGTTCTGCATCCAGAGCTGGGATCCCCAACATCAGGCCGTGGAGCTGCTGGAGCGAGTCCAGAGGAGGTCATGAGGATGATCAGAGAGAGGGCTGGAGCCCCTCTGCTCTGGGGAGAGCTGGGGGGAGAAGAGAGGGGTCCAGGGAGAGCTGAGAGCCCCTTCCAGGGCCTAAAGGGGCTCCAGGAGAGCTGGAGAGGGACTGGGGACAAGGGATGGAGGGACAGGACACAGGGAATGGCTTCCCACTGCCAGAGGGCAGGGATGGATGGAATATTGAGAAGGAATTCCTGGCTGTGAGGCCCTGGCACAGGTTGCCCAGAGGAGCTGTGGCTGCCCCTCTCCTGGAAGTGCCCAAGGCCAGGTTGGATGGGGCTTGGAGCAGCCTGGGGTAGTGGGAGGTGTCCCTGCCTTGGACAGACACACTGACTTTCTTCTACTACTGAAGAGAGGTGGGATTCATCCTCCTTAACTTCTTGAAAAAGAACATCAAAATCAGAAATAACTTTCATACCAATGTCTGAGTACCCAGAGAACTATTTTTCCTTTCTTTACTAATTTAACTTCTAATGCATAAATGACGTTGCTGTAATTATTCACTTTAAAATGCACACAGTCCACCCTTGAACACGTGCACGAGGGAGGCCTGGGAGAACTCTGGTGTTCCAGCAGAGCTCTCTGAGCAGTGACACAGCACCTGGAAACTAACTGACCTCCCTGTTCTGCACAACACTGTGCACTCAGATGGATCAGTATAAACTGGGGGGTTTATAGAAATGTGCATTTCAGTGGTGGAAACACTTAGTTTTTGAAGCATCTTTCCCCAGAAGAGCCCATGTACACGGCCTTCAAAATGCCTCTTCAGTTTTCACTGCAGCAGAGAGAAATCCATGTTCTGCTGGGATAGTTATGGCATTTTTTTCCTTATCAACACAAGGCATGGGTGGCAATGCTGCCCCTCCAGTTCTCCTGCCTGTGATGGTTAGAGGGCAGTCCCCTCCATGTGCTGATGGAGCCTGTACCCCCCGGGCACAGCCCCTGCTCCTCCTGCCAGGGGCACAGACGGGGACAAAGCTGGGCTGTCACCAGGAGCTAAACACCAAATAACTCTTCCCAACTGTTGTACTACCAAATGCATTCACCTGGTAACTATTCTATAATCTGGTCAGTTTTAACAATCTGAAATCTCTTCCCCTTCCCATCTCCCCAGGATCAGGATGAGATTCTGCTTGCAAGAACATTCCACCTACATCCGAAGGGTTTTGCTGTTCTGCTTCATCACTGTTCTGCAGGATTTGATTCCTATCCAGATATCAGAAAAGCTTCAGTAATATACTGGCACTAAGAAAACATATTAGTCTTTATTATGCTAATATGTCACGACATAAAGTAGATGAGCTGTAGCAATTGTTCCCCTGTTATGCTTGGAATGCTGTACTTTATTCCTATGCTAAGGAATAACCCACATGTATTAATATATAGCATATATATAGAACATGCTTCCCTCTTTACACCTCAGTAAAAGGAAGAGAAGAGGAGGAAGCAAACTAAACATGCATGGTTCAGTGCATAGAAAGGAATTACATAAAAGTGTAAATCTGGAGCACTGGCATAGCTCAAAGGAAAGCCAAGTCACCAGGCTGGAGTTCAAAATCAAACACACTGTGTTCCAGAAAGAGCTGGTGTTCCAACTAAAAATTATCTGTCATCTGTTGGCCCTAGTTTTCAGATGTGACTGGAGTTTCTGATGGTCAAAACAGAACACCTTAACTAAATTTTTATAAAACCCTCACAACCACAAAAGAAGCAGAGGAATAGAAGGATGATTTTAATTTGTTAAGGCTTTAGCATCCTATTGAATTCACAGGATGGGATTGTTAGAAACTTAGTGTAAGTCTGAAGATGAAACAGGAGCGAATTCATCTTCAAAGCCTAACACAAGGAAGTAATTCCAATGAGCTGAAAGGAATACAACCCCAAACCTCCTGATGATGTCTCTGTGCACACCATTGCACACATGAACTGCAAAGGTACAGCCTGTTTCCAGTACAGCAGAGACACATTGTACCCACAGAAATAAAGAGGTCCCTCAGATGCCCTGGCCACATGAGGCTTGAAATGCTGTCACAATTGTATTAATATTGACAAAGCTGAAAGCAAACCTAGAATTTAAATCAGCAAACACTATATTTTCTGTAAATACACAAATAATATCAATTTTATCTCTTTCATTATTACTCCATTGTTCACCTAGATTTAAATTTAATAAACTTTTTTTTATTCTGTCCAGAGCAAATTTTAGGCAGCAGAAAATGGATCATTACTCCTATTCTATCCTGATCCAAGAAAAGATCTCTCCTCAACAGGTAAAATTCCTCTGCCCAGTTTTCATTTTCTTTACTTCACACAACAAACAGAAGGGCAGCAAATATGAGACCAAGTTAATCTAATGCATAATTTCCCATATGAATAGAAAAGTATCCAACAGTTTCATTAGTATCACCATATTTAGGAGTAAGTTCTATCCTGAGTGTTAACTGTGTGGTGGTTGCCTGCAAACACTTTTAGCTGCTGGAAATGCAAACAAGCTGAGATATTTAAACTTAAATTTAGATAAACAGAATTGTTGCAGACAGCCAAGGCATCAGTGAATGACCATCGATTTCAATGACCTAAGGGAAGATACTGTGCAGAAAAGCATCAAATCTGAACACTGGCATTCTTATTTAGACTCACATTGCACTAATGCTCTCAAATAAGTTTTCTTAAGCAAAAAAAAAACAAACCAACAATCAGCTTGGGCCTAAAAAATCAGCAGGAGGAATATATGATATACAAAGTATATAATATACATTTTGTATTTTATAAATACAATATATAACAGCATGGAGTTGAAGAAGCTATTTATCTTTGCTTATCAGTAATGAATGGAGGACTCATTTGTGGTTTGGTTTAAGTCTCCTGGTTATTCCCAACTTGTAAAAGTATTTTACTACATTTCCAAGTACAGCAATTTTAAAGTGGAATAATTTCCTTCTGAAGACGCTCAAAGCTGAAGGTTTTGCCTGAACACTATATTTATTTAATATGTACATTTAAGAAGGTGTTTGTTGCTGACATATTTAGAAGTGCCATTTCGTAAAATATTAAGAGCATACATCTACACTGCAAAATGTATTTTAATACTATAAAAGTTAGTATATACTTGAGAAGAAAGGAGCAAATGTTAATTCTCTTCCTGCCCAGCCTCAAATGCAGTTATCAGTGACATGTGCCGTTCCTACAAGGAAAGCACACAGGGTGTTTCACTGTCAGTGGTCTATAAAACAATACAAAACAAAGCACTTCAAGCTAAAGGACCTTCAGTGTATTTATTTCAAAAGCAGTGTCTTTCCCTGAGTGCTGATTCACAATCCTTTCAATCCTCATTTTGTTTAAAACCAAACACTACAACAGGTTCAATTCCTAATTCTCAGTCCTCTCAAGAAGAATGTAAAAGCTCCACTCTGTTAACACTGGACACACCACAAGGTGACTCACACAGAAGCAGAAAGAACTCTTCAAAGAATGGGTGATACCAAAGAAGTGTCAAAATAAATTGTCATGTGCCCTTTCAAAAAATGTACATCAGGAACCTTACACAGAGTTCAAGCTGAACTCCCTCAATCTGTCGAGTCCCCGTTCCCAGACTGGCTTCAAATCCATGGAACACTTGTAGTTAACTCTGTCCCCTAAAACTTACAAGGGGGGTTTTCTTGATGGGAATTGTATCTTCCAAAGTCTATCATCTTCCCAAAAAGAAAAGATCCCAACAAGCAGAGTTACCATTTATTCTGCTGCAACTACCCCACAATCAGGCACCAGCAATTCTCATTTGCCAGCTGAACAGCAGAGCAAAGCTGGGCTGTGTATGTCCCACATCAGCTCTCAGACCAACCCAGTACTACTGACTCAAGCCAGAGACCTGGGCACCAAAGCCAAAGGACTGCCAGCAGAGCTGGACTGCAGCAGAACCG